TGGTAGAGCCTTGCACGGGCTTCAAATTTAGGCCCTAGCCCGGGCCGTGTCCAACAGCTTAACAGATTTACAGGCCTGAGCCCGACCCGAGCCCATCTTTTTTCCCCCTTCTCCCAAAACAGCTTATACTGTTTCAGCTATTAAAATAGTTCAGTTTTGTATGTAATGGCAAATATTTTGTTTCGTTTTTTTATGAAGTTAATTTAGAAAAACGTTTGGAGCATTTTTTGTTCGTTAAATATAAGTTTTTTAAAGTAATGACCAAGTGGCCAGTGGCAGACAGTGAGCTGATCATATCCTATGTTTGATCAACTTGCCTAAAATAAAATCTATAGATATAAAACAGTTCAAGCATCTAACAATGTTTAAACGTTAAACCTAGATAAATGTGTGCTGTATCCAATCGTTTATGCGGAGAGTGGAAGCTAAAGCGCGCTTTGCAGGACATGGAGGCGCCAGCGCGATCACTTGCATTTCTTTTCAGTGGAAACAACTTTTAATATGCCGTCATTTTTGCTCATATAGGTAAGAGTAATACATCATTCGGAACTGTAAAGGGTCTACTTTTATTTGTGTGCACTCACAATATCAACAAAACGTTGTGCTTTTATAAAATAAAGAAAACAAGCATGATGGGCTTTCTGCCGTCTCCTAAAACAGGCCAGAGGCCCAGCCCGCGTCTGAACTATACGTGAAAATTGGCCCGAAGCCTAATGGGCGTAAAAAAGTCGGGGCCCATTGAGCCCGGGCTGAAATGCAGGGCTCTAGTCATTGGGCCAGTTAGGTGGACTTTACAACATGATGATTTAGTGACAGTAGTTTTCTGTGAGATTTATTATCATCTGTTTGTCCTCCAGCACCAGCTGAAGGAGACACAGAAGTCGTTGTGATATGGCTGATCAGAGATCAGGAAAAGCAGGCCGTGAGTCGAGCTGAAGGACGACTGGAGCGACTGGAGCAGGAGATCAATGATCTGAGGAGGAGAGACGCTGAGCTGGAGCAGCTTTCACACACACAGGATCACATCCAGTTCCTGCAGGTAACAGATCTAGAAGAACAGGATCATAGTGGATTTGAGCCAGATCCTGCTGAGACTTACATAAAAACAGTTCATGACTGCAGAAAGAAACAGAACTTCACTGACATTTTACCTTTTTAACAAATTTTTCTTTCTGATTTCTTGCATCATGGTGAAATCAGTGACTTTCAGTGATCAGTAACTTTCATCAAAATTGGATCAGGTGATCTTCACACATGGTTTTGTGTTTTGTCCTATTGGTGATTAATGAAAAATAAATGCTAAACAGAAGACTATTTTTGTAAGTGCGGATCATGGTCTCATATACCAAGATCTTCACACTTGATAAATTTTTTATTTTGTAATATATTGATCAATTTTACCATGAAAAACCCAAACATGAAGTGAGACTGTATATCAGCAATGCTTCAGAGTATTGAAACCATACCAAACCTGACCACGTCTTAACCCTTTAACTGTCACCCCCCATTTTTAAAATAGGTGCACTATCCAAACTTAAATTGTTGTAATTTATGACCACTTTGGAATACATACATAAGGTTGGTCTCTTTTTAAAGAAGAAAATCAGCAAATTATCGCAAAAATTTTTTCAAAAAATCTAAGTATCAAAAAGTTATAGTAGTTTAAATTTACTGTAAAGAAAATGCACTATATTAATTTTATTTTATTTTATATATAATAAATATTTTACATATCAGGTTTTACTCTAAAATTGGTATAAACTTATAGCCTTATGTCTAAATAAGTTATGTTCCAAATTTGAAGTTGATTTGAAAAAAATTGAGGTTCCTGTGAGATTTTATTTAGGGAGTTATACCACAAACAGCCACCGGGTGCCATCCAAACGCCACTGAATTTTTTTAATGCATGTTTCTGTTACAAATGTCTAGATTTCTCTGTCAATATATAACCACCAAATATGGAATCCTGAGACTCAGACCTTTCCAATGATATGTTTTTTTGTCAAGATTATAAAAAGTTTTGATTCTAAAAGACCGTAATTCATTTTGTAATATGACACTTGACACCGCCCACTAAGGGGGAGGAGACCGCCAAAAGATTTTAAAGTACCATTTCCATGGTAACGCAATGTCTGATTTCGAAATGGTTTTCACAGGATGAATCTTGGGCTTCTAAGCTTTAAAATGATATATGATTTATGATGATTACTAAAAGATTGGATAGAGAAAAAAGACAACAACAAAAAAGAGCGCCAAACGTCCCACAGGTGGGACGGTGAGGGTCCTTGTGAAATTTCAGTGTCTCTAACAGCTCTAAAGTTATGAATAATAGTCATTTCTAGTCCTTTCGAGCTGCTTTTCCTAATCAAATCTACTCAACCTTTCAATGAGATACCACTGATGTGCTTGAACTGTTAGATAGACATTTATGTTCTTAGTAGATGTTTTGTCATCCAAACTATTTCCAAGAAAGTTCACATTGAGTGTAAGTGGCAAATACTAGAATCTGTAGCTCTAATGTGATTTAATGAATATGAGAAGAATGAAGCTGATGCTGTGAAAGTGCTGGATAGAGGTGAGTTACTAAAGATCAGTCAAGTCAACAAGAGCCGCACAAATCTGATATTTGTGCAGAAAATTGGGTGAAGTGTGGAGCTGATGAGTTTTGATTTGTGTTTTCTATAGAGTTTCCAGTGTCTGTCAGCACCTCCTGAATCTACAGAAGTAAATGATGATCCCTTCAGTTCTCTCATCCCTTTTGATGGCCTGAGAGAATCTGTCCATCAGCTGAGAGACAAACTGGAGGATTTCTGCAAAGAGGAGCTCAAGAAGGTCTCAGACAGGGGTAAAGTCCTGGAGATTCATCTGCTCTCAGAAATAAGTCCATCATCTCACATCACGGAGAACATCATATTAGAAATATTTTAGGAATGGATGCAGGGATAGTTTTTTCTTGATATAATAAATTTGTATATATTATAATTTTTTCTCATAATTTTTTTTTCTTATACATTGTAACATACATGTCTCTTTTATATTTACATTTATATCAATATATTGACAAGCTGTAGGATATATGTGTGTGTTTGTGCATAAACGTTTTTATGACATTTCTGCTCCACTTTGTGTGATGGTAGTGAGACGGGACAAAGTCCCTGTAAGATATTAGGATATTCTATAGTCTTTGGAAGAGAGAGAGCACTCAAAACTCTTCAGATTAATTTAGTGGAACATTAATATAATATAGAATCATCCTCTGTAAAGAAATGGGGCGTGAACATGTGAGAATTTATTATTATCTTACTAAATGTGCGCTCTTTTGGGCTAAAGGCTTAATGGAACCGTTTAAAGTAGCCATGTGATCACAAATTAATCGGTGGTTCTGCGCAGATGTGATTTAATACGGGTGTCCTTTTTCTATGTGAAAAAAAATCATAAATTCCAGTTTATGCTCTTTGATTATGGCTTCGAAGGTCGTAGTTGGAAGTTGTTAGCCACGGCTGGCCCGTGTGCGCAGTTGAAATGCGGCTAATAATTTCTGACTGGCACATAACTGAACAAATCAAACAAATGTAAACGGGTTAAGGCGGGGTCCCCTACAAGGCGGGGCCCCTGGGCTGCAGCCCATTCAAGCCCAATGGTAAGTCTGGCCATGGACTTAGCAAAGTCACATGGTAGTTTTCAGTTGGGCCAGAAGGATCCCACTTTCAAAAGCTTTGCAGGGGCTGGTGAGCAGCTCTTTATAGGGATTCTATCCAGCCCCAGGACTGACATTTCCAAACACACCTTGCCTGCAGTTTCCAAGTTGTCCTGAAGATTATAGCTGGTTCAGGTGTGTTCAGCCATGGCTGAAGCTAAACGTGTCTCTGGTTTAGGTTCAAGATAGTTTCCTTTGGTTTTAACTAGTCGCCCCGGCCTGGTCATAGCTGGTTTTACAGTGGTTTTGACCACTTCTTCAGCTGGGTAATCATCATCACAATATCAAGAGCAATCAATATTAATGATTTTTCTCACAATACTGCAGCCGTATCCTGTGATAACTTATTTTATTTTATGTACTGTATACTTAAAGTATAGACTTTTTTAATGTATATACTTGTACTATATAAATTTTAACTATCTATACCATGCAACATGCAATCCAGACAGCAGACACATTTTGGACCATGAAACTTGTTTTCCTTTCATTTGCCATCCTTCTGTATAATGCGGTCACAAATTCTATCACATTTTTAATAGCACAGTAACATCTGATATAACATGAGGAAGTATTTATGTAGACATGTAATTTACCACAGTTGCAGAGTATCATGCATGTAGTTATGCATAATTTATTGTTATTATAATAGTAAGTACATATAACATAAATAAGGTGTTAATTAAATAAAGTGCTACCTTAATTCCAATAATTACAAATCATATGAAATGATTACTTTGTGGTTGCTGAATAAATGCACTTACGCAACGGAATCCATGTTTGGATTCATTACAGTTCATCACTGAGAAGTTTTGATAGCAGATTAAATGGCACAAGCAGCTCCGTGAAAGGAAACAGACTCATGTATTACACTTATTTGAGCAGAATATCTCAAAAGAGATAGCTGAACTCCAACTTACATGTTTTCTTGTGTTTTCAGTACATCAGCATCAGAGTGCATGTGAATGGTTACCTGGTTGAGAAGATTAAATAAACCATATTGATTTAAGAGAAAAGCCCTGAGTGGGGGATTTAAACTCTTGAAATCTGGTGCCCGCAGTCATGAAAGTTTGCCTATGCTTGTCACCAATGCAAGATAACAAACAAAAAATCAATGGGCAAATATTGTGACTCATGATATAGCATATGACCTATGAGCGAGGATCGGGCTCAGAGAGTGAAGTTCAGTGACACTCATTCAAACTGTCAGTCATCATTTGCCTGCTGAATGTTGTTAAGCGCATGACGTGTGTTTGCTCTCCCCCAGCAGGTCTGTCTTTTGGATTCGCATCTGCGGGTGGGTTTTCATTTGCAGAATTGGCAGAGAGTTCATCGGAATTTGCATTTGGTAAAAAAGGTGAGTGCTGTCTTTACCTGTTCACCAGTGTATCACAATTTACCTGTCTGATTCATTAGACAGAAGCAGCTCGAAGGTCATTTGTTTGATTTCTCATATTAAACAGTGCAATTCAGTTCACAAGTCTTTCTACTGTCTTTGCTGAGCAATCATTTAAGTTTTTTTAAAACGATTACAAAGTCAGTATGTCTTTATGTGAGATTTACATTCTGTCACCTGAACCAAAGCACAAGAGAGAAACGTTTTTTTTGGCTTTTCTTGAACTGCTGCTTTCATCAGTATGAGAACTGAAGTCAATATTTACACTAAATAATACATTAAATTTTTATTTATTTTTCATTCCTTCAGAACACTTGTGACACTTTATACAACACTTTATTTATTCTGTGCTAGTAAGCCTATTTCTGTCATGACAAATCTCAGAGGGATTGGCATGGTAATGTACATGATAATGTTAATGTATTTGGTCTTGGTGGAATAGATCTGCTACGCTGCTGCTGCTGCGGCAGAGCAAGTACTGAGACTTGCTACTGCCAATACATCCACAACATGCTGCTGTGAGCATGTAAGAAATACTGCTGCTGCACATATAACATACATGAAATAACCCCCATATAGCATACATGAATCACCTCGTAGCAGATCTATACAGGTGGAGCTGGGGAAGGGGGAGGGTTTCTGAAGTGCACTGCTACAGCAAGCTCTAGCCAAGTATTTGAATGTTGAGCAGCGAGCTCATTGGCTACCGATACAGGAGAGAACCAATCAGCTGTGCCATGTGATGATGATGTCATTATATTAGATCTATCGGACTGCGCCATCTAGAGTTTCATGCCAGAACTTTGTATTTGTCTTCTGATAGTAAAAATTGTTTGTGCTGCATACTGTAAATACTGGTAATGCTAATCTCTAATCTAATCTAATTTAATCTTTGTCTGAAAATGCTGTCCTTAAGCAGATCATATGGTCTTCTTTTGTTTGTTTTTAAAGATCTATGCATAGCATCATTTTTGGGAAAAGAAAATCAAATTACAACTTTAATTCCGTGGCTTGAAAGGTGAATGATGAACAGTTTCCACAAAGACTCGCTCTTTTCTGCATTTCGTAATAATGTATTTTCCTAAAAGACTCTTTTTTGATGCTAGCATTTAGCCGTGTTGTATAAAGCTTGTGACAGAGCTCAAATATTTCAAAGACTGCAGAAAAGATCCTGTTTTATAAGCCAATCAAAATGTTTTTTTTGTGTGTGTGTGTGTGACTTCATTGGCAACATTAATATGAATTAGTATAGTGCTAGTATGTTATCATACTGCTGCTATCAGCATTACTATTGGCAGTGTAGTGTTTTCATCATGTGTTTATTTCTGCAGATGATAATTTCACGTGGTCAGGCGCAGGAGCCACCGTCTCTGGAAGCACAGCGAAAGAAGTTTCTCTGCCAGAGGTGAGTGTTTGCTGTGATGCTGTTAGCTGTGATCTTCATGTCTCTAGAGGTGTGACGTGTGTTGACGTGGCTCCTGCAGGTGGAGGTGAGGTCCGGTGAGGAGGATGAGGAGATCCTGTTCAAAGAAAGAGCCAAACTCTACCGCTGGGACCATGAGTACAATCAGTGGAAGGAGCGCGGCGTGGGAGACATCAAGATCCTCTTCCACCCTGTGAAGAAGCTCTACCGCCTGCTGATGAAACGTGAGCAGGTGTTAAAAGTCTGCGCCAACCACGTCATCAGCCAGAGCATCGAGCTCAAGCCCATGAACACCTCGCCTAATGCGCTGGTGTGGACCGCCACAGACTACTCAGGTACAAGTCTCACTCCTCTCCTCACACACATCACCCTGCTGCCTGTGTCTTCATGTCTATATGGTTGTTCACACACACAGAGGGAGATGGGAAAGTCGAGCAGCTGGCGGCCAAGTTCAAGACTCCAGAACTGGCGGAGTCCTTTAGACGAGCATTGACCGACTGCCAGAGTCGCATGTTGCAGGCTGACTCCGCTCAGATGTCTTCCGCCGAGGCGCTGTCACGAGAGTCCAACCCTGTGGTGTTCTTCGACATCACCATAGATAACAAGGATGCTGGGAGAGTCGTCATGGAGCTCTTCGCTCACATCGTGCCCAGAACGGCGGAGAACTTCCGGGCTCTGTGTACGGGAGAGAAGGGCTTTGGTTACCGCCGGTCCATCTTCCACAGGATCATCCCAGACTTCATCTGTCAGGTGAGGACACACCGTCATTATGTAAACTCACTGATGATGTGTTCTATATGAAGACAGCATGAATATTCATTTACACCAATGGCTTGACTGGTTCAGTTCATTGAAATAAATTCTCAATGTCAAAACAATCATTACTAAAATTCTATAAAATCAACAAATAATGCACATCTGTCAATAATTCCCAAATTATTATGCCGCACAGATGTCTTTTAACAGTTGTGTCCAAAGCAACTGAGGAGCAGGGTTATTATTATTATTAAAATTAAAACCCTAAAAAAATCATTTCTGTTACTTGAAGTAAAATAAACATTAACTGAAAGTATGAAAAACATTATTATGGGTTCCAGATAGTTTCCATTTTCATTTAAGGTGAAGTATTAAAATGACTAAAACCAAACAAACTGATGTAATAAACATGAATAAAAACTACATATTAAATGTAATTAAATGTCTCTCAGGGTGGTGATATCACCAACCAGGATGGGATGGGAGGAAAATCCATCTACGGAGGGAAGTTTGAGGATGAGAGCTTCGAGGTGAGGCACACGGTGCCGGGGCTGCTGTCCATGGCCAACCGCGGCAGAGACACCAACAACTCGCAGTTCTTCATCACCCTCAAGAAAGCAGAGCACTTGGACTTCAAGCACGTTGCCTTCGGATTCGTCAAAGACGGCATGGATGTGGTGAGGAGAATCGGAGAGCTGGGCGCTAAAGACGGGAAACCCACAAAAACCATCACCATCTCAGACTGTGGACAGATTATGTGAGATTTTCTACACAAACTAGTGTTCATCATGTTTGAAACTGTGTTCTCCAAGCTCTTGTTAAATCAGAACTTGTGTATGCTGAGGTTTTATTGTTGTCCTCTTTGTGTGTTAATAAAGTGGACAGCAATAGTTGACAGTAAAATCCATACTTTGCAAAAAAGATTTGCTAAAAAATGTTTACCCCAGAGTTTCTTCATATTTATAGGGGCTTAATTGGACAGAATGTGAATCTTTCCTTGTTATATGTCTGTGATATTTCTGCAGTTCACTTCACTGACATGAGGTGCCATGCAAACACAGCCGTGTTGCTTGCAATTTTTAAACACCTGAACATAAAATAAATATCTGCGTTACACTATATATTCAAAGAGTGTCATTGTTGACAAAAAACTGCTGTGAAATGCTTCTGGATCAATTAAAAGCAAAGCTGCTTTATTTCTCCTTTAGTTTCGACAAATGTTTCAAGAAAACTGGTAACAAGCATTTAAAGGGGTCATATGATGTTGCTAAAAAAGATAATTATTTGTAATTGTAATTGGTGTAATGAAATGTGTTTATGCGGTTTAAGGTTAAAAAAACACATTATTTTCCACATACTGTACATTATTGTTGCTCCTCTATGCCCTGCCTTTCTGAAACGCATCGATTTTTATAAAGCTCATCGTTCTGAAAAGCGAGGTGTGCTTTGATTGGCCAGCTATCCAGTGCGTTGTGATTGGCCGAATGCCTCAAGCGTGTGATGGAAACGTTACGCCCCTTACCTTATTTGGAAACATACAGCGTCTCCACGGCAACAATACTACAGAGAATAAAAGTTACACCTCCTTTCTTTGCGTAAACATTTGGGTGGCGTTATGCAAATCTTCCCAGATAGTGACGTAGACATGTGGGGGCGTGTTAGAAAGAGGCATTTTAGGAGGGAGTGGACCAGTCTTAACTTTTATAAAGAATATCTCTTTGGGTTTAAGACTTTAGTCTTTGCAACTTCAGGGATCTTATCTATGCACAATCAGCTTGTAACACTCCAAAGAGAAAGGAAAACTTGAAATCGCATCATATGACCCCTTTAAGTTACAACTAACTAGCCAGCAGTGAGATCAGAAGTAATATATATTTGTGTGGAGTAAATGTGCTCTTTAAGGATAGTTTGAACTCCCTTTTTCTTTTTACTTCAGAGATTTGACATACATGAAATTGATAAAACTGTTTGATAAAAATTGATAAAATACATTTTCTAACACCGTTTTGTGTGTTTTTGTAGAAGTTTATAATATATTTTATGGAATAAAATAATATATTGCCCCCTGTAAGCTCCCCTGCATGATATTTTCTGATGTCTCTGGCATTACATGCCTTACCAATCCACATCACTTTGATCCCAATATAACTGTTGTCTGTACTGTGTTGTTGGTGAAATAAATAGGTGGACATCAACTGCTGGTCTTCATTTAATCAGATGATTTATCTTGTCAGTTACAACGTGATTTCGCTCTTTTAAATTCCTCTCCCATGCAGAGACAGTCCAGAAAGGGCAGATAACATTTAAGCAAGCAAAAAATAAATAAATAAAATAAAATAAATAAATATGAAAGATTAACAACAAAAATGACAAAAAATAAAATAAAAAATCTGACAAGATTTGTTACAACGTGTGATTTCGCCCTTTAAAGAAAAAAGTTAATGTTATATGCAATGCAATTAGCATGGTCTTCAATTTCAAGAATGACACAGAAAGCTAATCATAGCCTTAAAGTGAAAGCATAAAAATAGCAATAAATACATGGATTTTTCTTTTCAAATCATATTTACAATATTTTCCAAGTATACTGTAAAAATGAGTTTTAAAGCAAAGATGAAATTAGATTAATCAGAGCTTAATAGAAACCCACCTCTTCTATGCAGAGAAAGGAAATTAATATTTACACTTCAGTCAGAAATTTTAAGGGAAAGACACACACAAACAGGCACATCAGGTATACATTTGAACATTTTGTGTTATTCTACATATGAAACATGTATAATACTGTCCATACCTGTTATACCAATATACATTTGCCTCAAAACTCTTTCTAGAAAATACAGAAAAAACAGAACATATTCTTGCCTTATATGAATTATATTGACAAAATACATAATAAAATTGCATCTGTGCAGCAGGTCCCTTAGTATGGTGTTGCATTGCTGCCACCTACATATTATGTTTTTCATTCAATTATGTCGTAATATCAAGATGTTATGTCATTTAAACAACATATTTTCTCATAATAACCAGATTGTGTGTCATTAAAATGACATAATCTTGTTAAAACAAAAAATATTTCTCATTAAAATGACACATTTTCTCATAATAACAACATATTATGTCATAAAAATGTTTTTCCATTATAAGAGATATTATATTGTTGCATTCAGGGGCGTGTCCAGGTTTTTATAATTGGGGTGGCAACTAGGTTTGCCACACAAAACTGATATGTAGGCAGCAAACTTTTCTTGCGATTTCTGTTAATTGTATAAATGAATATTTCAATTTTTAGTTTAATTTTAATATTAGTTTAAATAAATAAACAAAAAATTCAAAGTTTAGAACCAAAATATGCATTATTGCAGTTGCATTTTCAAGATTAACAGCATTAAGGAGTTTAGGCAGCAGCAACTGTTATAAAATAAGGGAGTTCACAACATGTGCCTTTAACAAAACGAGATCTTTACTTCATCTTTTTAATATCTGCCAAGTTGCTTTGGATAAAAGTATATGTAAATGTAAGAGCCCTTGAGCAGGAATCTTCTCCTGATGGGCCTATACATTTGAGGTCAATTTGAAGGCACTAAATATATTTAAGCCAAATTAAGTTAAATAAATAAATTTAAGCTAAATAAATAAATTAATAAATAAATTAATATTATTCAATGAGCATGACTTGCTTTACACATACGAATATGTAATAGATCATATTTGCAATCTTCATAATGACTGAGCAGAATCTGCTTCAGCTGAGCCTGGTTGTTAATTTTTTTACACTCTAAAGTGAGTATGATGACAGCATGTTCATGTTTGGGTTAAGTATCCCTTTAAATATGCCCTAACCAAAATGAAGGATTATGACAATGTCGCTGACAATGGGCGAACTGTCAGGTTATTTTAAAGCATTTGTAAGAGTGCGACTGTGTGTTAATTAGTCCGATCTGTTTGTGCAACGTCTTCTCTACTAATAGTGAAACTGGGTTTTAATTTCTTCAGAAACTATGCTATTGATAAATAACAGGACAGTGTTGACTATAATTTTCTGGGTTCCTGACTGTTTATATGTGCAAGCTGTCTGTATGTGTGTCCATATGCTACAATAACTGTAGGTAGCACCTTCATTTATGTCACAATTCACTTGGGGAGCAAGGAACGAGGAAACAGGGAGTTCTTGAATAACACAGTCTTTAATAATCCACAGTAGACACAGGAAACAAGGGAGACATCCAACAAGTAGACCCGACAAACAAGAACTGAACGGACTAGGGCTTTTAAAGGCAGGATAATTGGGGAGGAACGAGACACACCTGGAATCAAATTAACACAATCAACATGAGGAAGAAACTGGGTCACAAGGGCAAAAACACACACTGAATAGTCCATAATCCTGACATAATGCCCCCTTCCGGAAGATGCGTCCTCGCACCGTAGCAACAACAGAGGGAGGCGTGGTTGGGAACTTGGGAGGAGGTTCCGGAGGAGAACGGATATCCGGGAGGAGGCCGGCAGACAGGGACCAGGGGGGCGACGAAGGAGGGAGGAGACAGGAGGGACCCGGAGCAGGAGGAGCACAGCAGGACCTAGGCCACAGCCATGATTTCGACCCACGGTGGAGCCGACGGAGGGAGGAGCCATGGAGGAAGAATGGCCGCCGACTCCAGGGGGCTGACCAACGGCGGCGGAGCAGGTGGTGGAGGAGCCCGAGGCGGAGACGGAGAGCCGATGAGCCAGGGCGACGGGGAGGATTCGGAGGTCCTAGGCGGAGCAGATGGCGCCGGCAACCGACGCGGAGATGTGGATCCGGGAGGC